TGGGGATGCTCATGCTGCCCTGTCCTCTGTAGGTCTTTGACGACTTCATCTTCATCTTCTTCGCCATGGAGATGGTGCTCAAGATGGTGGCCCTGGGCATTTTTGGCAAGAAGTGCTACCTTGGGGACACGTGGAACCGCCTGGACTTCTTCATTGTCATGGCCGGGTAGGTGGCGCCCATCGGATAAGTTCCAGCTTTGGGTGCATGTCGGACGTCTTCAAAATCACCCCTGGGTCCCCGGGTGGCAATGACTAGCCTGTGTGTTGTGGGGGCCGGGTGGGCGAGGAAGTTCTGGACCTGTGCTGAATGGACTGGACAGACAGAATTGCTATCCCTCCCTCTTGGGTCAGCTGTATGTCTGAGGATCAGCAGTTCGAAACCACCAGCCACTCCTTGAGTGGGAAAGGAGTAGAAAGAGGAGGCTTTCTACTCTTGTAAGGAAGCCCACAGGGGCAGTTGTGCCCCATCCTCTAGGGTGGCCGTGAGTCAGAGTCCACGCCAAGACAGCGAGTCCGGTTTGCACTGAGCTTATGTCTTGCCTTGCCAGCCGATCATGGGTCTGCTTCGGTAACATGCTGGGCTGCTAACCACAAAGTCAGCAGTTCGAACCCACCAGCCGCTCCTTGGGAGACAGAGGAAGCTTTCTACTCTGGGAGAAAGTTACAGCCTCAGAAACGCACAGGGGCAGTTCTGCCCTGTCCTATAGGGTGGCCAGGGGTCAGGACCCACTCGGCGGCAGCACGGTTGATTTTGGTTTGGCTTCATCCTCACCGTGTGACTTCAGAAAAAGTCACTTAACCTAAGCCTCAGGTTCCGCCCCTGCAATACGGCACTGCCCGCAACTCCCAGCAAAACACCCATTTTTCAGTAACAATCAAGCCGGTGCCAACTCAGAGTGGCCCCGTGCTCGTCAGGGGCTAACTGGGCCCTAGATGGTTTCTTTTTACGGAAACATAGCATGCTATCGTTGCTGAGTGCGTACAGCCAAGCATGCATCTGCTTCCACACGGACAATTCAGAGACAGAGGTCTGACCTCGGTGTCCAGCCAGGCCCATCCTCATCCTCGGTTCCTGAGTTGTTACTGTCGCTGGGTGCTGGCCAGCCGGTCCCAGCGGCTCGTAGCGGCCCAGGCACAACAGAACGCAGCACGAACGCTCTTAGAGTTGAGCCCATTGCTGCAGCCACTGTGTCGGTCCATCTTCCTGAGAGTTTTTCTCCTTTTCGATGAGTTGTCCTCCCCCATTAACAAGAACCCACTGCCCCTAAGGTTCCTATCTACTTCTCAGTCCCATCCCAGGCAGGCAGTTCTTAAAAGAGCATTGTGCTCAGGGTAGGCCGTATATAGACTCATGATGCTAAGCTCGAGAGCCCTGGCGGTGTAGCGAGTTATGCAGTAGGCTGCTAACCACCAAGTCAGAAGTTCGAATCCACCACTTGTTCCTTGGGAGAAAGGGGAGGCTGTCTGCTCCCGTAACGAGGTACAGCCCCAGAAACTCAAAGGGGCCGTTCTCCTCTGTGCTGCGGGGTCGTTCCGAGTCCGAAGCGACTCAGTCGCGGTGGGGTTTTTATGCAAAGCTATCGTTTGGCCAAGCAGGTCACCTATCCTTTTCCGAGGCCCCTGGGGCTGGACTTGAACGTTCGGCCTTTGAGCGAGCAGCTGAGCCCAAGGCTATGCGGGCAGCAGTCAGAGTCTTAAAATCTTTCCTGGTTCCTGAAGCAACTGTGGGTCAAGGTATCATTTCTAACAAACTTAAGAAGAATGAAAGAACGAAGGAGGGAGGGGGGTGAGGAAGGACAGGAACCGCGCACGGATAGGGGGGCAAGGAAGGACAGGAACCATGCACGGATAGGGGGGCGAGGAAGGACAGGGACCACGCACGGATAGGGGGGCAAGGAAGGACAGGAACCGCGCGCGGATAGGGGGGCGAGGAAGGACAGGAACCGTGCACGGATCTAGAATGGAAGAGCCACATCACAGCTACAGGCAACTGGCTCTCGACGATGCACCAGGGTGAGAATCAGCAGGATTAGGGTAGAGGTGCTGGAGAAGGGAGTGAATGGGTGTACACTAGGCAAGCTCGAATCACGACGGGTTGGTAACTTTCCAGGGCCATCTACTTCGACTGAAATCGGCACCAGGCCAAGCGACAGGTTCGCCTGTGATTTCACAGCGTCTCAGCCTTCGGTAAATAGTGAACATCGGACCCCGGACAGTCCCTTCCTCTCAATCCTGAAACCATCCTGGAATGGGAGCTGGGATCCCTGGAGGCGTGGTGGGCTTCTGTCCCCTTAACGAGCTATACAGTCTCGCAATCCACGGGGGGTAATTCCACCCTGTCCTACGGGGTCACGAGGAACCGGCATCAACTCAGGGCAGTGAGCTTCGTTCTTGGTTTGAGGCGGATCTGCTAAGCAACGCTGTGCGGTAACATGGTGGGGAAAACTGCCCCTCCACCCTCCGCCCCCGCCCCCCCACTGTATTCCCATGTTTGAGGTTAATTTTGCCTCCTTCCTGCTTCCAAGCAGACGTTTGCTCTGCTGGCTCCACTCGCTGCCTCCAGGGAGGCCCCCACCTGCCCTTTCCACGGGAGGCTACTCCTCTCTGGCTTGGCGGCTCCCTGCTGTCTGCTCCTATTTACAAAGAAGGATTTTGAAGGGCTTTTTTGAGTGGAGTCCAGAGCCAGCCCGGCCTCTCCAGCATGGCGAGGTCTCTGGGCCTTTGGATGGGGTGGATTATGGGCTGGGTCCTCTTGGGGTAGGAGGCTGACGGTTTGGGCAGGTGCACAGGGTCCCACATTTGGATTAATGCCCGGCTGTCAACCTTTAGAAATCCTTCAACCTTTATGAGCCAGGGCCCTGATTTTCATTTTGCTCCTGCCCAGGCCTTCCTGGCTGGAGGTCAGCCACCATGGGCTGTTTGACACCGGAGTCGTGGGCACGCAAGGGTCCAGCCCTGTGCTGGATGCTGGGGGGCTCAGGGGACTGACCCTAGCCTTACAGCCCAGACCTCCAGACTCTTCCCACCCAGGACCCCTCCCCAGAGCTGCCCGCCCGCCCGCTCCCCGAAGTCCCACCCAACCCGGTGCTATAAATGTTCTGTTTCCCGAGTAACGGGGCCTGACATCCAAGGATGTCTCTCCCTTCCTGCCCCGCCCCTTCCCCAAATTACTGCCTCCTTCCTCAAGCTGTGGAGGGAGATTCAGACGCTCTGAGCTGGAAGGTTTCTTAGAGGGCAGGGCCTCCAACTGCACAGGGAGTGTAATTATCTGGCAGGCTTAGCTGGGCCCCAGAGGCCAGCCCCTGCTTGCCTGCTGCCACTGCAGGGAACTTACTCCCGCACAGGACGGCGGCGTATCCCAAATTGGGGCAGGTCTTAAAGGACACTCTGTTTGGTAGAGATAGTCACTGCCACAGTGGGCTCAAGCCTGCCAGCGGTCAGGAAGAGGACATGGGACCCTGCAGCGTGGCACTCGGTCACGCACCAAGGTCGCCCGTCATGCATCGAAGCCGATGATGATGACGACGGCGATGATGACAAATCATCACGACAGTTTTCTGGGAGGTTTGTTCTGACCCGGAGCCGAACTCTGTCTTCCTGTCCCTTCCACCCGATGGTAGCATTCGTCCACCCTTTTTCTCCAAGGCAACTTTACGGAGCAGCTACGCCCGGCCGGGCATTGTGCTGATGGGAGGGTGAGCCAGACGGGCACCGTCCACGGGGCAGCACGCGGAAGAGAAAGCAGATAGATTCTGGATAACTCCAAATCAATCCTCAGGGCGGATCAGCCCGCCACCACAATGTGTAGAAAGCATGGAACAGGGACGCGGGTTTAGGATGAGGGGACCCTTCACCAAGGAGGGCTGAGTAAGAGCTGACCAGACAGAGGGTGGGGGGCAGGGTGGGGTGTCTGAGGAAGGGGCGGGAGAGCGGAGCTGAGAGATAGAGAGCAATAATGAGCCCAAGCCGTGGTCAGAGTCCGGGTCACATGAGGAGGCCGGGAGGCGGCTGGGAAGGGCATCGTGGACACACTCAGAGCAGCCCCTTCGGAAGTTGGGAGGAGGCTCCCTGCCACCTCGAGTCCCCCTTTCTCCAGGTGACCCGTCCCTAGTACTGCCCACCATTTCTCAAAGGACAGCATTCCCAGAGACTGCCCCTGCTCCTCCCGTTGCTGGCGGGCACAGTCCCTCTTGCAGCATGGTGAGGGGACAGGACCCCAGCCTCCTGACGGGACTAGTGGGGGTCTGTGCTGTGCCCGCTCCAGCACCATGTAGCACCATGGTGACCTGGGACTGGCCGTGTGTCCTGCGCACCCAGGACGGGCTCCGTGCCTGGCCTCTGCCACCGTGCACTGACTGCCGCTGCCTCCAGGTGTCCCAGCACTGAGGTTGAGTGTGTCTCTGTCACGATCTTGTGACTTCCCGATCCGGTCACTCATGCCCCCTTCTTCCTGTGATCGGTCAGCCCGGGACCCAGGGCCCTGTGGTCCCTCACCAGAGACCCTCCGCCAGGGTGACCAGAGCCTCGGCCATCGTCTCCTTTGGTGTAGCGCTGAGCTCACCCCACTGTCTTATCGTTCAAGCTCCATTGTCTGCCCTGATCCATTAGGTGGTCCTGCAATATTCAAGGCTGTCCCGTTGAACTTGCCTTTGCCTACACAACTCCCCATCACCCTCGGTGCCTCATCCTGATGATACTGCTTCCTCCTTCAACCCCAAGAGCACACGAGCTTGGGGCAGCCCCTGCCAGCTGCAGGAATGGGCCTGGGCAAGCCTGCTAAAAGCTTCTCGGAGGATCCCGGTGCCTGTGGCTGAGCCCGAGCCTGCCTGGCTGGCACCCTGGCGGCCACGAGCCCCACCTTGGATGAGTGGAAGCAGATGGCTACCATGAGCCTTCCACACGCCTCGTGGCCTGCACGGCCCTGAACTTCGGCTCAGTGCGTGTCAGTCTACCTGGAGCAGCAGGATCACCGGGAAGCACGTGAACACGCAGATTTCGGCTCCTTGCCCCAGTGATCCAGACCGAGCAGGTGTGGGCGGGACCTAGGCACCCGCGTGATTGCCAGGGCCCAGGCGGCCCGCTGCATGTGGTCGGTGGATCGCTCTCGGAGAAGCCAGTTCCGCCAAACCTGCCAGCAGCCCCTCAGCCCTCTGTCCAGGTTGGGTT